CTTCCCACACTCTTTCACCGGTCCGGTTACTTTGGTGCTTTGATTATTCCGCCCAAGTTAGATGCCTTATCGATTAAGAGAATGCCGAGTGAAGTTCAGTTTGTTCAAGAGGATACCCATAATTGTGGTGTATTTGCTTGCTTGTACGTTGAACGCATGCTTGGCGAGGACATTCCCCGGGAGCCGGACATAAGTTTATATAGTAAGAAAATGGCATTAGCAATTTATGCTCATAATATTCCCGTGTCCAGTTAGTGTCATTTTTTGGGGCTTTTGTTGTGTAATGCTATTGTTAATTGTAGTGTATTTGGTACTTTGACAATTGTGGTCTATTTGTTATTATTTGGTACTTTGGTCTATTGCAAATTGTACCTCTGTTTTTATCCGCTACTCGCAGAAAAATCCCGCGAGTTGCGACCCTGGGAAGCTTGTATAGCCCTTACAATTCTATTCTTCACAGCGACTTGCGAGTTTCTCCCCGAGTCGTGATTATTATAATTTTTTTTTAAAAAAACTGAAAATGGAACAACAAAATTACATTCCAAGCAAATTGATCAATCCATAAATATGGTTATGCCTCCACTTAAATAAATGATTATCAATCCTTTACATACAACATCACCCAAATAACGTAAATCCACATTTCCAAATAATTATTTGAGAGTTAAGTAATCAATGTTTATAATAAAACAAATATAATGGTTTATAAAATGATTTTTGAAATCACACAAATGGTTTATATGATTCGATAACTATTTTTGGGATGTATCTACCATTATGAGATCCCATAAACCATGTTGGACAAGAAATCACATTCCTTAAACAAGAAATGATTTCTGGGTCAAGAAATTGATTTCTTGGACAAGAAATGATTTCTGGACCAAGAAATCAATTTCTGGGATAAAAAATCATGGGCAAGAATCACATTTCTGGCTCGGAAATTTATTTCTGAGTCCAGAAATCATTTTTGGTCCAGAAATCACATTTCTGGGCCAAAAATCGATTTATGGGTCAAAAAACGTCTGGGCCCAGAAATTGATTTCTGGGCCAAAAATCGATTTCTTGGTCTATAAATCATTGTGGTCCAGAAATCATATTTCTGGGCTAGAAATCGATTTATGGGTCCAAAAATGAGATGATCCAGAAATTGATTTCTGGGCCAGAAATCGATTTATGGGTCTAAAAATCATTCAATGTTACAAGAAATCTATTTCTGCAATTTTTTTTTTTGCAATATTCATTTTATTAATTTGAATAGTATATATGTGATCCATTGAAAAAAAGATAAATTATAACCATACTTTTACACTAATATTTTCGAGATATCACCGGGATATTGTCGTAATGAATATAGAGAGAATGATTTTTTATTTTATTTTTTGGTTAAGTTTTTTTTTTTTTTTTTTTT